TACCTTGAGAACTTTCATACCGCGATTCAGGGTTAATAACAACTCCGTAGTTTGGTGCGTCTCAGTTAGATGGTATTGAATTATGTTTTCAGTTGTACTACATATTCAAAAACATACACGTTTTTCATTACAAGGCGTTTCAGAAAACGTAATACAATAATTGTTGATAAATTTCTCTCATCCTCATCCGAACACTAGCCTATAATAATGATAAAATAGCCTATAATAAAATAGAAGAATAGCCTAAGAATTCCTAATATAAATCCAATGAAAAACTTATTAAAATGTCTATACACAAAACAAATAATTCTCAAATAAGAAATGATTAGGGTTCTTCGAATTTCAAAATCATTTTCCGTTGTAATTAATTGGACTTAACTATTATGGGAGCGCACGCGCCTAAAACATTTTATTTATGTACCTACACCATATTTGTGATGAATTTTATGGGTTTCGTTAATGGACTGTTTTATGGTGTTCAAATTATCGTGATAAATAAAGTGAGAGTTGGTTCGTTTATTATGACTTCAATCTTCGAAAACTCACTTTACCAAACTTATTCTGTACTATAACGAATATATTAATGAATAGTACACCTTAAGTATAATATGTACACAAAATTTAAAATAAGGAACCTTAGAAGGTAGGTTTTGCAACTTACCTACCCTACGGTAGGTAAGTTGTAAAACTGACATAAATCCTTATTTTATTATTAGTATTATTTGATCGTGGTTTTGTGAGCCTGCAAAATATGCTAAGGTTCAAGTGCAATAAAATCACCCTTCCTGGTCACGTAAACTAGGTACTTAATTACTACTGCCATGATTTTCTATGTTAAAATAAAGAAACTTAGTGAAACAATTTGTAAAACTGTGAGACTTCCCGCTACAAATGCCCCTCATATTTGAATCACTTACTCTTGACTCGAACAAATGCCCCGGGCGAGTGGTTATTATATTGATATTAGGTGAAGTCGTTTCGATTTTTTATGGTAACATATTATTTATTGGTAATACTTAATCTTGTTTGTATAAACTGCCTTATTAGAAAGCGTTTAACTAATTAGTGCCTTCTCCAATTTATTTGAAAATTAATTTTGGCTTACGATTTATTATGCCAAGCTTAGGTTTATGGTAGTTAAGACAGCTGTAGTTAATTAATTTCTTTCACATGATTTAATTTCTATACTATAAACAAATGGCTACAAACCATCTATACTAGGTGGCATTATAAAAACGGCAATAGTGCCACGTGGCGACGATAACCCACACTAATTAAAAAACAAAATTTGTACTGCATCGCGCCATGGTAAATTCTCTGTGATTAGTACATATAGTCATGAAGGCTGGTAAGAAGATCATAAAGATGGTATGTTGAGTCGTTATACCAATGAATATCTAAAATTTCTAGAAATCATTAGTACAATGAAACTTTCTGCTTTACTATACTTAGTTATCCAGCAGAAATATAATACTGAACTAATACTTAACTGTATACCGCTTTATATAGCGTAGTTCTGCATGCACTAGAGCACACTTTAAAGCGAAGACAAATTTCTTCGGCTTGAAGGATGCTGTTCTAAAACAAGTGAATAAAATTAAAAACTTTTCTCTATGTTTACACACTCCTTATAAATATATAGATCTGTGACGTCACTATAACACGAGATTGTGACGTCACAGATCGATACCTGGGTCTTAACATTTGGAGTAAGTTTATGCAAATATTCCAGGCCAAGTACATCTTTCCCTAACACTGTACGGCTTGCAATTTCCTTAAGTTCATCCACTACAATATATTTGACTTTATTTCAACACGTCGCTTACTCAAACTATCTTAGTGTACAGTGATTCAGTGGGCCATTTGAGCTGCAATCGTACGCATTAGCAACTCTGAGAGCGATCCGTATTACTTCTACATCGGCGCGTTTACTTAAGATTGTAGCTGTAACACGTGTTTATAACTTTGTAACGATATCAGGAATATTACGCAGAAACAAATAAGAGTTTCATTTAATTTATAAACAAGTGTGGACAATATATATAAGTAATATTACTATTTTGAGACAACCTGTAAAATAAAGGTTGGTAGAAATCTTTATCATCTGGAAGGAGTTCAACCACATAGATGTTTTGAGCGATCACTTACAATTAGGCATCCTACTGTTGTAAGTATTAAATACATAACTTATGTAAAAATACTAAATCACAATAATCGAATTAGTACTTTTATGCGCACAGATATCATGTTTCGGATTAATTAGGTAAATGTCGTCACAAATATATATAGGTGGCGATAACCACTTACTATCATCAAGGGAGCCATGTGCTACTTGGTTGATAAAAGTGTTGTAAATTAAAAAGCTTACTTCCTATAATTTATTTAAATTTGATCTACTTTTAAATATGGAACAGCGGAATTTCCGTGTACAGTGTGAGACAAGGCTTAGTTATAACTTATCAATATTCTAATCCATCCTCCACTGAAACCCTTTCGAGATAGTTTAGAAAGTGTAAATCTCCTTACATCGAGCGGGCCCATTAGTGAGGAGAATTATTCCACGATAACTTATCGATATAATCGGGTGGTCGGTCGCTTATTGTTTCTCGATGCTTCCTGGCCGCCGGTCGAGAAAGTATGCATCGATACAATCGATTAATTACGAAGTATGTTTGTCCCGTAAGTGCGCAATGACATCGATTTTAATATGGCGTGGGACGCCGCGGGGTATGTCACAACAGTTTAAGAGATTAGTTGTCTTGTATTATCTCTCATAACGGATTAATTTGTACATGAATTCATTAGCATTGTTTAAATAATTTTGTAGTTTTATATTTTCTGTAACGATATAAACGTGTCATGCCAAAGGTCGTATGTATCGGATGGTGGCCAAAGATAACTCCCAAATGATAATGACAAAAAATCAGTACAGCAGTTCCTGTTGCTTAAAAATATTTTAGTTAACTATATGGTATTTTGTGACTGTAGACAACAATCACTCAACGTATAAATGTATAAAACTTTTCACCAATGTCAATAGTGAAAAACAGTGCTATATTTCATCGTGTCGTGAATAGGTAAGTGTTTAGGTGTAAATAAAGAAGTAGTTAGTAAGCAACGCACTCCAGATCTTCTCATAATATGATATTTATCACTAGTCGATATTGATGAACCATGAAGGTGAAACTGTAACAGCTAGTTAACAGTTAGATTCATGATTTTTAATATCCATAAAGAAAGGTTTCACAATAATTGTATGAGTGATACAGTGAGATAGTGTTGAGCAAGAGTACAATACTTTACATCGACTCTCAATACAGATGTGTATCAGCGGGCCGCTCCAAATCATCGATTGTTCGAATTTTACTCTCAAAACTATTAGGGTGCCTACACCTTTGATCAATATAAAAAGGAATATTGTACACGGAATTTATATAAATATATGTTATATTTATATCAGGCCTATTGTTCTAGTGTTTAGCGGTCCTGACTGACTGCTAAGAAAAATTCCAAAGACTAAGTGCAAACTGAACAAATAATTCATTTTTTGAACTTCGATAGATGGCGTTGTTCCTTTTACCTGAATCGCGTTTTTGTTTCGCTCAACCTAGTGTTATAAGGTGAACTGTGAATTATATTTAATGAACCATCCTTGGGTAACAATACAATATTTTAGAACAAGTAACAAATTGTAGTTTTATTCACTCGACTTAGTTACCCCTACCAGTGCAATTGTGTTGTTCCCGATTAAATACCAGGCAACTCTTGGTATTTACGACTAATATTGGTGATGAGGACAATAATTTGTTCTTTGTTTTAGTGTAATTATCTATGTATTATTAATACTATGTATGTATTTAGAAATATGTACAAATATTATGTATGTTTATTTGGAAATAAATTTACCTGGTAATGGCAATTGGAAATAGTGTCAACTATATATTAAAGCGGTAAATCTAATAATAGAAGTAATTTTTTATCTTGTGGAATACCCTTAACACAATAAATATTCCACATTGTACCCAATTGTTATGAGTTAGATTATCTCCGACTATAGGCACATGATATTGTTACTGTAGTTGGAATTCTCATGATCATATTGTAATCGTACCCTACGTGAGTAATATATTACTTTATATAGGTACTATTTATTCATTTTTTTTACGATCCTGTTCGTGGTTATTTCCCGGATTGCGGAGAAAGTGTTTTATTTGTTTTAATCAGAAAGCTCCTTGTTTGTGAATTTATTTGGTAAATTAGTTAATTTAAAAAAATTAGAAATTGTAAGAGCTACTTCACACTATTCGCATTCGATCTCTCCCCGCCGCCGCGCCGGCACCCATGTGTAACACCGCAGCAACGCTGCGCATGCATGGCAGCGTACTCATGTGCCTTAGCAGAAACGTCGACACTGCGCTTACGTTCAGCGAACACCTATGCTGAACAAACGTTAGTGCAAAGGGGATCTTACAAAGGGTTTGTGACTTTTCTTTTGCCATGATATCTTACTTCGCCACAAATTTCATGACTTTAAGTGAATTAAAAGTATGCTAATTAGGCTTTTTTATTTATCTGCGAAGTGTTAATTTAAGGATTTTATTTTTTGATAGCATTGACTTAGATTTCACTCGTTTTTCACAGCATTAAGAGATTACAAACATATTTCATGATGATTTCAGATAATACCTCCTCGGATTCTGCATAAAGTTTCTTGACAAGCAGATAGATAGGCATAGAGATCGATAAACATTCAGCCGGATAAGAAAATAATCTATTATGTTTTTTTTTCCATGTAATGGATTTCTTTTTTTTAGATTAAATAAGGCAGAGGCAGACGCAGGAGTGGGTACTAAATCAACTGTCATTCCTTCATTCAATTAATTTAATTATTGCAGTATCTTATTATCCCTTAAAGTCTGTCTTTGAATGTAAGTCGTTGTCGTGTTAATGTGTTAAAATATTTGGGCAATACATTTTATGGAAACTTTTGTTTGTTACAGTTTTCAAACGCTTTGACATCAACCAACAACCTTCAACTACCCTCAACTTTGGATTTTCTAAGGTCAGTATAATTAATAATTATGATTACTACTTTTATCCAATGCGGACAACGTATAGATTATACATTATAAATACTCTGTCTAACACATATGTAAGTTTACATGATACTACTACTATTATATTTGAGACTAATAATTTCATACTCTTTGATAATGCTGTTGACAGTTCTGATTAATTGCTCAGCAATTTAATAAAACAAAAGTGTTGAATTTAAATCGAATAGTAGGTACCACTTTCAAAGACTACTGGTACAAAAGGCAAAAACTCTGTATTAATCAGAAAGTTTAAAGCTACAAAATTCACCCAGAGTCAATAATCATCTTTTATGTAAAAAGCATACTTATATAAAGATGCATCAGTAAACCGAGTAACTCCTTTGTAACAGTAAAAATTGATAATATATGCGATCCAAAAGGGTAATGCTCTACTACAAGGGTGCAGGTAAATCAAAAGCTATAATCAAATTTATAGGGAAGCTTAGAAAAAGGCGTGACCTTTTAATTCTATGTTTTGATAACTACTAATATCAGTAAACACTATCCCGTATAATTAGCGGTAAAAATACGAACTACAAAAGCATTAATTAATTGAACCTTACTCTCAGAGCTTTTTCCCACGGTCGCGTCAATTCACATTTACAAATTCTCTGTTCTCTTCAAAGTACTAAATATTCCCATCCCTTTCCAACGTACACTGTCAACAGCTGTAAGAATGAGAAACGAAATACATTTGAATCATTGCGTAAGGCCGTATTAGTGGGGTGTGGTCAGTTGCAACCACTCATTATGTTTAATTCTGGGGGTTTTAATCATAACTTGGAAGCTATTTTTCATATTAACTGGTACATGTTCATTATTGAGTTTTATTTTGTTGTGTGCACAATTTAGTTTTGATTCGTGAATGCACAAGGATTTGTTTTTAATCATTCCTTGGTTTTCTGACTAATGTAACATTAAGTATTTTATATATTTTCTAAAAATAAAACTTAGATTGACTAACCATTAACATTTTAGTAGATGGTCCTTCATTTAATGTTAACTGTCAACTATCAGCAATAACAAAGACGATCACAAATTCAAATTTTGTACTGAGCCTGACCGTTTTTTTTAAAACTAAAAAGTGGCAACATAAATCAGATAAACGTCATAACACTCTTACAAAAAAATAAATTCAAGGCAAACCAAAATTCAAACAATAAACTATTTGCAAATTGATTACACCACACGTCACCGTCAAATTATTGTTTTCCGTGAAAATTATAATTATATTTATGAATATTGAACATTGTAATTCAATGTTACACTGAATTATTTAGTGTTGAAACTTCGAACAAATATCATAAGTTCAAGAACTAAACAATTGTTGTGTTTTTATTGAAAAATTTGATACAGACAATTATTAAAAAAAAAACTTATATTATAAATATCATCTTTATTTGCAGGCACTAAACGGATTTCTCATGATGATGACGCAGAATGGCAAGCTCTTATACATATCGGATAACGCGGCTGAATATCTCGGACATTCTATGGTAAGTAACGAATTAATGTGACGACCTCTATGACGCGGCGGTAGTGCATTCAACTGTTCGATTCTCGCTTGGTGCAAATATTTATTAACTTAAATCTTCACTAGTCTAGTTCACCAGTGAAGATTAAAAAAAATATATCTATGTACTGCTATACATAAAAATGAAGAGTATTAATTCGTTTTCTACACCCTTAATACAGGATATAAAAGATATGAGTCTGTAATATATTGAAACAAAATACCTACTATTTCTAATGGATACTATTTATTACTTGTATGATATTACAAGATTAGTATAATTTTCCTAGAGCTTAGTATCTGTAAATAGTTATATCGCCTCTTAGACGGTCATAAACATGTCTAATTAAAAATGATTTGCAAACTAAATTCCTCTTTAGTCATTTTAAAACCGTCACGGTACCGCATCCGAATCTGAGAACTCCTGAATGCAATCTCATCATGACTAAATGGGATAACTAATGGAAGTGACACGCAATGTGAGTCTAGCATTGATTCTCAAAGAATGTTACTGGCGTTCTTGCTCTCTATGTAGCGACAAATGCACAGCAAATTGCCAGATTTTAGGGCTATCGAATGTCGGTAAATAAGGCTTTATTGAAACAAGTATTCATATTGACAGAGGCATTAACATTGTACCTTATAATTCTAATCAAATAAAGAACTAGGCAGAGCCTGAGCTATGGTAACCAGACTGCTCATTACACAATATTTGTCCTGGGTGGGAATCGAACCCACGACCTCCAACTTAGCAGTCAGAGTCACTAACCACTAGACCTCCTGTTCCTGTAAGATCCTGTTTTCTTTAGAAGTTACATATGAAAATATGATATACAAATTCTGCATTGATCCGGGTTGAAGTTAGAAGTAACATTATCAGTTCACTGTTCATCCTACTTGCGATTCTTGGATTCCACAACGGCTGTTAAATACTCGTACCTATAAAACATCGAAGACGACTCCCCATTAATTATGTATGTAATTGGATATGTAATAAAGAACTAAGAGTAGTAAAGTAGTATTTCTAGTAGAGTCAAGAACACAGACAGTTGACAAATAAAAATAATGTTCACTGCTAATATCAAGAAAAAATAAACAAATATCTCCGTCGGGCGATACCATTACTAGACATTTAGTTCTAGCGAAATCAATAAATAGTTTACTTTCAATTTTTGTATCGCACCGGTGGGTCTTTACAAATAAATGGTACTGTCTGACCCCAAATAGTTCCTCGTTAGAGTGCGCGAGCGCACACAAATTAATCACTATGGTTTATTGTAAGCCGCGCCCGCCTTGCATGCGATACAGGTTGGTGCAGTTCTGACGATGGTTTTTATATCGTTATAGTTCTACTACGAGTTTAATATGACTGATTCAAGTGACAAGATACTGTCTCTCTCTCTCTGTCTCTAGCAATACATTGAATATACTCATTGACGTAACCATAGATCGTCATCATCATCATAGAATTAAAACGACGTGTTACACAGGACATGGCTTATAGTAGATTACTCGTATACAAAAAAAAAACTGTGTAATTACTGAGTTCGTCTGAAAATTAATAATAATATTTTCTTCTATATTTTCTTTTTTTAGAACAGTAAAAGCAAAGTCAATAAACAATTACTAAATTATTCTTAGTTGTAGTCGCTAATTGTAACTTTGCAACAATCTTAGTTAATGACTTATAGAAGTATAAAGTACCGTTATCTTCTGTGGAGAGTTTTAGTGGGTCGCGGGTGGTACAGAAAGTATTGTTCTATGTGGGATCGAACTCACAACTCTCAGCGCAGTAGCAAGCGGCAAGGTAACCGCTTAAACTACTACGCAATCCGTACAGTCAAAAACTTATTAACGCTGACTTAAAATGAAAGTGACCTTTTGGATGTTTTATTTGCTACGCGTTTATGACTTTTCATCTCGAATTTGAAATTTCTCAGCCATTCTGTCAGAGATATGAAAATGATCTTTAATCTAGAAATAAATTATTTGTCTTAACGAATACTTGTATTGGTTGCCTAAATCTATACCTACACACGCGTGCGAGACCGTAGGCAAAAACTACTTCAATAAATATTTCATCCACCTGTGTATACATTTTGGCAGTCGCTTCGTGTGAAAACTCGCTACTACACATGTACTCATAATGATAGCCAGTCAATATGTTCAAATTGTGATTAATAGACACAACAACAACTGAGTGTCGGCATAACAACTAAAGGAACAGCATATAATCTTATCTTGTTTTATTTTTACGCCTAAATGCATCTGTGGCTCTGTTTTGATCGGCCTGTCGTAACTTATTAAATGTCAAATGTACGCAATAATATCAGCCTATTTACGTAGAAATGATTCCATGTGTACTAGGAATTAGTTGTATTTTTTTATTCTCTAATAGGTAGGTAATTTTTAGATATAGGTAGATATTATGAATCACTTAGGGAAAAATAATGATGGACAAAAACGATACTGCTTTTATTTATTAAGTTTTATACAATTGCGTTGGCCAATAAATACACGGATTACCTCATTAAAGCGCTAAAAAATATGTAAACTTACAAACGATGTGGTTTTTAATTCAAACTGCAAAATAATTCTTATATATCTTATATTTTGTGAGTAATTTTTACATTCATTCCAAAAAGTTAACATAGCACTCTCTCAAAAAATATTAATTAGATCAGCCATTATTCTATTATTTATCTAAGATTACAGTGTTAATTATTTTAAAACCGGTTGTTTAATTCTAAAAAAAAAACAACCGGATGAACCACCTACTCAATTCACATCATCACATTAACAGTCTTTAATAGTCTACTGCTATAGGCCTCTCTTTAGAAAGGAGGTTTCGGCCGACCATAAAACGCTAGCCTTCTTTGCAGTACTATTGTCTTGCGTAGTTTGCTCTCCTAGCCGGTCCTACATACATACACTATGATCATTCTAATAACAACATATAATATATCACATTACCTTGAAATTTTACCTATCGTATCATATACATAACGAACTATAAAAAGCGCCTCAAAATAATATATACAATTAAATGCTACCTTGACATCTAAGCTTTGATAACACTTAAGTCTCGCATTTATCACTGTAACTAGTTATCCGTTTAATTACAAGCCGTTGACATAACAATTAAAGCGGTTATTAATATTGCAGTAGAAGTGAAAGTGAAATATCACGTACGAAACGGATATCTTTCCATTAATATAATGTCTTTGATTACAAATATATCATTTAGTTGTGTCCCTCGAGGGCGAACAAGAAACTTAATCTGTTATCAATTATTGTGGCAAATGTTCCGCACTCAATTAACAGATGATTAATGATTTAAAAAGTAACTATCTAAAACCTTCGTGTTACTTGTGAAGGATTTTGTTGTTAGAACTTTGTTTGATAGCCGGATGCGTCTAGTTCAGGCTCCCGTCAGTTAAATCAAGTTTTAGTGATACAACCATGGAAGTCATACCATTGTCAACTCACATTATAACTTCGAGTTACAGTCGGTAGCGCACCTCTGGGCTTTCGAAAGCTTTTGTGTTACCAAGTATCCCATAGTTTGGGTAAAGATAAGGCCTAAATAACTAATCTCATAACAGATCAGATAGCCACACAGAGGGGAAATAAAGTAATCCTATGATAAACATAGAGTGGCATCTGTCACCGACGTAACACCGACGACTCACCCCTTGACAAAGTGCTTCCATGGGTCCTAGGAGTCGCTTATTCGAAATTATTATAAGTGCCCCTCACAAGAGTATGTGCGAACAGTTAACATATATATTTATCGATTTAGGATCCTTCACATTCAAGATTTAAAAAAAAGCTTTAATAATTTTGAATAATGTAATATTGTTCACCCAACAGACTTAGACTTTTGTTGACTGATGTTGTTGAAAATAGCTTATGTTTATCTGGTTATGATTATGTTTATTGGTACACATCAAAACATTTCCTTCTATTAGTTTTACATTTTTCATCAATATGAATATTTGCACACAAAGATAGTTGCGTCTCAAGCCTTTCCTTTAAAAAATCCTTTATTAACCTACAATCAGAACTAATAATGACTAAACAATATCCAGTAATAGACAGCTATAGATATCCCTAGACCATCTTTTGACCATAACTCATCCATCGGTAGAATTCCCACGATACCGTTCTTATAAGCCCGTAATGTATCGGCCGATACCAACTATTATTATCTTGATAAAAAAACGAAATTAAACCCTAATAATACAGAGATAAAGGCCAATATTTAACGAGATAATAGCAAGCTCCAAGCAATATTTTATTGTTATTCCGCAATTAAGATTAATGATAAGGCTAGACGAAGTAAGTACTTAATCCAAATATCTAGTTAAAAAAATAGTTGGCTGGACTTTAACAAGCATTGTTGGGATTCTGTACTAGTACCATTTTTTTCTTCACCTTATCTAGTCAAAGGTAAATATTACGAACCAATATTAGTCCATACCATTTTGTTTCTTAGAATTTTTTCTAAAAAGCATATTACTGTGGCGACTTTTGCATAAAGAGAAACAAAAAACATATTACAGCGCCATCTAACGAAGAAACTCCGAACTACGGAGTAACTGCTAATCCTCTATTGCGATATAAATGATTCTCTCGCTTATTAGCATGTAAACAGCTTCCCAACATCAACCGATGGACCGCAGCACGCCAGACATGATCTACTCGCCTGGTCGTAGGATCCTCCCTTTGTGTTAGAGGAACATGACATGACATGAACATGACACCCGTTTCTCCATAGTGCTGCCCCGACCTGATTGGAAGTAGCCATCAAGAAGTAGATCAGCAACAGCATCATCGCCATCAACGTGTCACTCTCTCACAACGATGAGCGGTAACGAATACCCAATTAGCCAGCAACCTCGGCTACAATAGGGGTGTTGTAACCCGCAGGTAGCAACCGCTCCAGCCTAGTTACTCCTACGACCTCATCAGAGTCTAGAC